AACAAATTATGGATAACATTGAGAAGAATGGGAATTCCAGAACACTTGATTGTACTCATGAGGAACCTATACATAGATCAGGAAGATGTCGTTCAGACAGAACAAGGGGATACTGCATGGTTCAAAATCAAGAAGGGAGTGTATTAAGGTTGTATCCTTTCACCATACTTACTCAATTTGTATGCTGAGGAAATAATCCAAGAAGGTAGATTATATGAAGAAGAATGTGGCATCAGGATTGGAGGAAGACTCATTAACAATCTGCGATATGCAGATGACACAACTTTGCTTGCTGAAAGTGAGGATGACCTGAAGCACTTACTGGTGAAGATTAAAGACACTAGTGTGCAGTATGGATTACGCCTCAACATAAAGAAAACACAAATCCTCACAACTGGTCCAATAAGCAGCTTCATAATAAATGGAGAAAAGATTTAAGTTGTCAAGGACTTCATATTACTTAGCTCTACAGTCAACACCAATGGAAACAGCAGTCAAGACATCAGATGATGTATTGCATTGGGCAAATCTGCTGCAAAAGACCTTTTTCAAGTGATGAAGAGCACTAAAGTGAGCCTAAAGTGAAGACTGAAGTGTGCCTAACCCAAGCCAGGGCATTTTCAGTCATCTCTTAAGCATGTGAGAGCTGGACAGTGAATAAGGAAGACTGAAGAAGAATTGATGCTTTTGAGTTGTGGTGCTGGAGAACAATGCTAAGAGTACCACGGTCTGCTGAAAGGACTAACAAATCTGTCCTGGAAGAAGTGCAGCCGGAATGCTCCTTATAAGCGAGAATGGTCAGACTTTGTCTCACCTACTTTGGTCATGTTGTCAGAAGGCACCATTCTCTGGAGAAGGATATCATGCTTGCTAAAGTGGAGGGTCAGCAACGAAGGGGAAGGCCCTCAATGAGATGGATTGACACAGTGACACAGTGGCTGCAACTATGGGCTCAGGTATAGCGAGGATTGTGAGGCTGGCACAAGACCGAGTAGTGTTTCTTTCTGCTGTGCATAAGGTTGCTATGAGTCGGAGACTATTTGGTGGCACCTATCAACAACAGCAACATTTGAAAGTAAATCCAAAAATTGTCATTATACTCTTCCATATTTAAATTTGCATTTCTTAAAAAGAGGGGATTTTTTTTTTTTTCCTACATAACCTTATCTATTTGTCAATCCCAGTAAAATGATAATTTTCCAAATTGTCTCAGTTTATTTGAAACAGCATCCAGGCAGGATTTGCACATTGTATTTGGATGTAATTTTTCTGCAGTTTCTAGTCATCTAGAACAATTCTTCCTTTGACTTTTTTGAAGAAGTTAGGTCAGTGGTAGTACAAATTGTTCTACGTTCTGGATTTGTCTCTTTGTTTCTTCCTGGCATCATTCATTTCTATACCTTATATATTTCATGTGAGGAACTCTGGTGGTACAGTGGTTAAGGCATTTGGCTGCTGACCAAAAGGTCAGTCAGTGATTGGAACCTACCAGCCACTTCATGGAAGACAGATGAGACAGTCTGCTTCTGTAAAGATTTTTAGACTTGAAAATCCAATGGGGGTTGCTGTGAGTCAGAATCGATGCAACACCAATGAGTTTTTTGTTTTTTGATATATTTCATGTGAAGTATGTGGTAGTTAGCTGTCAAAGCTTGAATAGATCTACTGTTTTAGCAAGAATGATTTATAGGTAATACTATGAACTTTACTTTGCAACACATCAGAAAGTACTTAATGTATAGATACCCTAGAAAAACCCATTCCTTTAAATAAATTTTAAAATCCCTGACTGCCATGTTTGCTGCATTTATTCTTAGAATTTTAGAATAGAAGAATCTTAGATGTTTTCTAGTACAATGTAGTGCATTAAGAAGACTGGGAATTCCAGAACACTTGATTCTGCTCATCAGGAACCTGTATAAAGACCTGGGAAGCTGTCATTTGAACAGAACAAGGGGATACTGCATGGTTCAAAATCACAAGGGGCGTGTGTCAGGTTGTATCCTTTCACCATACTTACTCAATCTATATGCTGAACAAATAATCCAAGAAGCTGGATTATATGATGAAAATTGTGGCACCAGGATTGGAGGAAGACTCAATAACAACCTGTGATACATAAATGACAAACTTTGTTTACTGAAAGTGAGGATGACTTGAAGTACTTACTGATGAAAATTAAAGACTTCAGTCTGCAGTGTGGATTACATCTCAGCATAAAGAAAATGTAAATCCTCACAATTTGACCAATAAGAAGCATCACAGTAAATGGAGAAAATACTGAAGTTGTCAAAGACTTGCTATTACTTGATTCCACAATCAACACCATTGGAAACATCAGTCAAGGGATCAGATAGCATTGGGCATATCTGCTGCAAAAGACCTTTCAAGTGCTGAAGAGCAAAGATACCTCCTTGAAGACTAAGGTGCGCCTAGCCCAAACCATGGTATTTTCAATCATCTCATGTGCATGTGAGAGCTGGACAGTGAATAAGGAAGACCAATGAAGAGTTGATGCTTTTGAGTTGTGTTGTTGGCAAAGAATATTGAGAATATCATGGACTGCTAAAAGAACAAACAGGTCTGTCCTGAAAGAAGTGCGGCCTTGGAAGCAAGAATGGCCATACATACTTCATCTCACCTACTTTGGTTATGTTGTCATTTCCTGGAGAAGGATATCATGCTTGGGTAAAGTGGAGGGTCAACTAAAAAGTGGAAGGCCTTCAATGATATGGATTGACACCATGGCTGCAATGATGGGCTTAGGTATAGCAAGGATTGTGAGGCTGGCACAAGACCAGGCAGTGTTTCGTTCTCTTGTACATGGGGTTTCTATGAGTCAGAGCTAACTCAATGGCACCTAACAAGAACAACACTACAGTCTTTTCGTTTAATAAGTGAAGAAATTAAGCTCAAATAAATTGACTTGCTGAGGATTTTGTCTTGTTGGTTGTAAATTTGAGGGTTTTTAAAATATATTTTTACCTATAGTTCTGCAAAAGTATAGCCTAATAAAACCAAAACCATACCCACTGCCATCTAGTCAGTTTCAACTTATACAACCCTATAGGACAGAGTAGAACTGCCCCATAGGAATCCAAGGCTGTGTAATCTTTATGAAAGCAGAGTGCCACATCTTTTTCCCACAGAGCAGCTGGTGGATTTGAACTGTGGATCTTTCTGTTAGCAGCTGAGCACTTTAATCACTATATCGTAATAGTCTAACTGTTTTTTAACTTTAAAATGTAGTAAAAGAATGAAATTATCTTTTTGATTACTATTCCATAAATCATAATGTTACTGAGAATTTGGATTGAAATGCCATCTGCTTTGTGTTATAAACTTAAGTGTAACTAATCTTTTCTTCCTCCTTCTCATTCAAGAGTATCGATGAAATCTCCGTCTCTAGCATTACACCCACCTCAGAAGTGCAAAGATAGAGGAATTTTACATCCTAAACGAAACACTGATGACCGATCAGATCAGTCTTCTGTGAAATCTACAGATAGTGGTAGTTACCCAAGTCCTTGTGCGAGCCCTTCTCCGCCATCCTCAGGAAAGGTAAAGTACCTAAAACATAGTAAGGAACAGATTTATAGCACATCTGATGTTACATACTCAAATAAAATTACAAAAGTATTCTACTTCTGATTAACTAATTATGGCCTTTGTTCTAGATAAAAGCTGAAGCTGACAGAGTTGACATACTTTGAGTAAATTTTTTATATTTTCATGCTTGCTAAATATTTCTAGTTACTAACATTTTTGCTTAAAGCTTGAACACTGACAGCATGTAGCTAGGGTAGTTTATTATTTCTACTTCTTTATAATCTTTTTTGTTAAAACCAAGCAAAAAAAATGTTAATTTATATATTCAGAATTAAAAATACTGATTTCTTTGAATTGTTAATTGATTTCTCTTGTTTGGTAGTTATATTAAAATACAAGATAGGATAAGATTAAGAAGGTGAGAAATGTTGATATAGAATTGAGAACTGTGTATCTTTTTTTGTAATCACATGAATAATTTCAAATGTTTAGAACAAAACACTTCTATCACCACTAGCCCCTTGTAACCACTTCACTGCTCTTGGTTCCTAGAATTTTTCTAGAATTTCCTGTAAATAGTTGTAAACATGTAGCTTTTTGTGTCTGTCTTTTATCAGTTACCATAATGCTTTTGAAATACATCCGTATTATTGAGTATATTATTAGTTTATTACTTTTTATTGCTAAGTAGATAAGGCATTTGACTGATAACTAAATTTGGTAGTTCAAACCCACTAGCCGCTCTGTGGAAGAACCCAATGGGGGTCGCTATGAGTCAGAATTGAGTTGATGGCAGTGGGTTTTTGGTTTTTTATTCCATTGTATGGATATACCAAATTTGTTTATCCATTCACCAGCTGAGAGAAATTTAGGTTGTTTCCAGTTTTTGACTACTATGAATAAAGTTACTATAAACATTTAAGTATAAGTTTTTGTGTGGAAATATTTATCTTGAATAAATACCTAGGAATAATTTTGTGGTGTTGTATCATAAGTGTATGTTTACAAGAAACTACCCAACTGTTTTCCAAAATGATGGTAGTATTTCATTCTCTCCAACAATCTGTAAGAGTTCCAATTGCTTTACGTCCTTGACAGTACTTGACATGTCTTCTTAATTTCAATCATTCTAGGGAGCTCTGGTGGCATAGTACCTAAGGCATCTGACTGCTAACCAGAAGGCTGGTGGTTCAAACCTACTAGCCACTCCCTGGAAGGAAGGTTGGGCCGTCTGCTTCTGTAGTGATACCACCTTCGAAATTCAAGGAGGGGTCACTATGAGTCAGATCTGACTCGACGACAATGGGTTTGGTTTGGTTTGGTTTGGTTTAGTGGGTATATAATGATATTCTATTATGGTTTTAATGTACATTTCCCTAGTGACTAATGATATTGGATGTCTTTTCATGTGCTTATTTGCCATTCATCTTTCTTCTTTGTTGAAGTATCTGTTCAATTTTGTTGTCCATTTTTTTTCTGTTTATCAATTGTTTGCATGTTTTTATTGAGTTGTAAGAGTTCTTTATATATTTTGGATTTAAGTCTAATTTATTACATGTTTTGTGAATTTTTTCTAACAATCTTTGGCTTCCCTTTTTATTTTCTTAAAAATGTCTTTTTTTCTCTTGTAATCTCTACCTAACAACACATAAACATTTCATCAGTTTCTACACGTAGATTTCAGTAATATGGTTTGCATTCTTCAAGTTGTGCACCCATTTTTGCTCTCTTTATCCAGACTATCCCATTACCTACCATTAGTATACCTACAATGCACTCTAAGCTTAAATCCTTCTTTTCCCCTTCCTCCCATCCCTGGTAACCACTTTTGAATTCTATATATTTATTTATTTATATAAGTGTGATAGTTGAAGATGTGTCAACTTGGCTGGACTCCAGTTGTGAGTGGTGGTTCCCATGATGGATCACATGACTGCGTTCTAAGCGGCCGGTCGGCCTAGGGGGAGTTTCCCCAGGGGTGTGGCCTACCTGCAATACTATCCCAGGGACAAACTGGAAGAACGGCATTCCGGACTATATACTTCCTGGAGCGAGCAGCTCGCTGCTCGCCCTGGAGGTTTTCGGATTCATTCTTTGTTGGGCACAGCAACATGGGCTCCCACTTACCAAGGCTGATTTGGCTACCGCCACCGCTGAGTGCACAATCTGTCAACAGCAGAGACCTACCCTGAGTCCACGATATGGAAACATTCCT